AAAATCATCCGCCTGAACCAGCCATTCGCGCACCAACGGCTGCGGCATGGCATGCTCGGAGCGGCGCAGTCTGGGCTGTGGACTATGACCAGTCGGGTAGATGTAGGCGTAGTCACATTTCATATCTCGGTAAACGGCTCTTGGGTATTGATAGAGCACTTTACCGGACGGAAATTTCTCGCTCCGTTGCGGGCCTGATCAAACTACCTAGGTACGTCGAGGGGTCAGTAAATCCTGCAGCGCTCGCTTGCCCTACATCACGAGATGCTGCAGGTTGCCTTGAAAGCATGCCTGAACCGCATTCGCAGAATGAGAATGTCAGAAAGCACATAAGGGGCACATCATTGTCAAGTTTGAGTAAGACTCCGAAGAGTCTTTTTGGGCACTGAGACCAACCAGGGAGCTGCTCGGCCCGCACCCAGTCGCAAATCGACAATGGGACCAGCGACGGGCAAGCATGCAAGGACCACAGGGGAAACGGAGAGGCCAGCGAGGGTCCCTTGTAGCGACTACTTTTGGCACAACGTGTCCTGAGCACCGGTTCGTAGATCCCGCCCGCAGGCCTGTCGTGATATTCGGGTCCTGGCCAAGCGGCTGACTCAGAGCTCAACAGCTCAACACAAAACAATACGAACTCGAATTTGCTCGCATTGTAGCCCCATGATGCGTCTCCATCTGTTCGCAGATGATCTTGTCAGGGTTGGCATTAAACACGGAGCGCTCGACAGCGACCTTTGAATCAATGAAACGGCAGGGCCCGCGGGGAAAGGACATGAATCCCGGGACCCTGGACAGGCCGTTGTGCGCATGCCGTAGCTTCGGGGAACCGTAATGAGAGATGAAAGTAATCTACAGGCGATATAAGACCTGCTGTTAACGTCGAATTATCCGCTATCTGTGATTATTTTTGGACCTCAGCAATCCTCGACGAGGCTAAATGCAAGGTCTAGTCCTAGGCTTTCGCGTTGGCTTGTCGGTTGGATTTATATTTTCCGCGTTGGGGGCCAATCACAACCCACTTGAAGCTGGGCGGATCCGACAAATCTCACAGAATGGATTTTCTTTACGTCGGCCGTAATGCTAGTCATTGTACGATCCGGATGACCTGCCCCGACGAAGGAAGAAGAAACGCTCATGCAGGACCCAGACTTGAGTCATGCCCCCTGCGTCGTGATCTCGGTTCAGGCCGCAGAGAGCAGAGTGAACATGTGCGGACATGGTTTACTCGCGAGCACGTTGAGCCCCTACACATCCAATGTGATAGATATGTACAAGGCCCTGTGGCTGCAGATCGTAGATATTGGAGTTATTGGACAATTCCAATTTACTATGATGGGGATTACGGTGGACGATATACTATGCTCGTGCAAGGATGGATTATCCCCAGCTAGTGTCCAGGTATACACACCCACCTCTGCCCTAGACGCGGCATCGATCTTCACGGCAGTCGGCTCAGCTTACCGCTATTCCGAGTTGGGGTCAAGCATCACCGGTGAATATGGCTTTGCTCCGTGGTGCAGCATCAAAGGTTTGCCCTGCCGCCGTCGCCGTTCCACCTTCTACATGCGATTGTACGGTTGGCTAGTTGTAACATGGAAATTGGGGCACTAACGCTGGTGCCGTTACTCCCACACCTCACGGCAGCGACGCTGATGATGCCTCATCTTAGCAAAATCGACAACCTGTCATCACATGCCTGACTGGCTCTGATTACATTCACACTGCAATATGCGTGGTATCGCCAACCCAGGCTTCGGCCCCGCATCGTTAATGCTGCGCACACTCCAATAGCACGAGCAATATCGGCGGTCATGCCGTCGTGGCTCGGGCAGTTTACGGGCAGATCGTCGACAGCGCCAGCGCGTTCGATCGATATACTCACCGGAGTATTTTATGTGTGCTATCCCAATGCGACACGGTCCACGCCTATAATGCATGCATGATATACCTCTGGCTTGTTCTGACGACTGCACTATGACTACACTTTGCCCTCAGCACTGGACGCCACGTCTAAGCACACCACCTCGGGCGGCTGGAACACTGGGCCGCCCGGAGATGTTTCTGCAGGTCGAGAGGATCGTCTCAAATGCACCGAGTCCGCTGATTGACCTCTCATGCACACATCGCTGGGCATGCAGAAGAAGGTACTAAGCGTATGCGCCACATTGTAACCTCTACAGAAGACTCTCTAACAGCGACTACGGGAGGAGGTGCCAGCGGATGCAGCTTACCGTCGCTTGCACGTTCTGAACTAGAGCACATTGCATCTGCCAGATTCATCACCCGCGCCATACAAGCTTACAGCGCCAGCGCCATGCCACTAAACATAGCGTGTCGCATGACGAGCAGTACACCTCACAGAAGCGTCGACTGATGATACTTTCCGCAGGGTGACGTCCTTGCGGGAAAGGAGCTCATAACAACTTGCTTTTGGGGAAAAGACTGACTTCAAACAATGCATCGACGGGAAATTCCACACAAAAGCGTCGTCGTGTCAGCCATATCCGCGAGGCAGCAGTGATCTGCAGCATCGGAAGTGTATCCAATTTTTGTTAGCAGCGATAGAGTTTGCGCCAGCTGAGTGCGTCATCAGATCGCAGTGATGCTTTTGTCGCGACAGCAAGACCCTGAGCAAGCTTTCCCCGGCAGTCCATGCAGCGCAGCCGCTACGAGGCGAGATGTTCCGCTGCGACCGCCGGTCGGTGCGAAAAGACCTGCGAGGCGATCAATGCAGTGGTTGGTCTGAAGGGTCCGGAAGCGCGACTGACAGTGACAAGCGTCTTGATAGTGCACCAGAACTGCGGGCCTGTCAGTGGGAGCCACATTTTCGCAATCCTCACCTCATAGTTGCTGGTGGCAGGACTCGCCTGGGTGAATATAACTTCCTTCCTTTAAAGTCCCTAGCTGCCCATTTGGTATCCTCTCCTCGGCGCCATGGTTGCCGAATAGGGTAAAAAAAGGCAATTACTGGGTCGCACATAAGCGCACGCCGAGGATTAAGGGTGCCGACTTATGCTATGCTTCAATTGAAAGTTTGCCTGGGCGGCTGCAAAACAATGGTGCAATAGCGCGCAGAAGCGCGACCATATCTCGTTAGCACACCCCGGTTCGAGGACGGTGCGGAAGACAGGGGGCTGAGCGGCCTCTGACAAGGCTCCCCAACCCGCATCGCCCATGCACGCTTTCAACTGACGGCCGTGCATATGTGATTCCGCGGGTGCATCGACCGACTGGGAAAACCGGCCTAGCAGAAATGTCAAAGAACCATCAGCCGAACGAGGGAAGCATGTAGTCGTCCCCGAGACGCATCCTTCCCTGCTCCCGTTGCCCGGAACTCATCGTGGCCCCCTTCTCCTGGATGGCCCGCCATGCACGACTTGACAGGGATTTAGTAAAGATCTGTGAGTAGAATCTCCATAACCGATTGTGGTTATTACTGGGGAATGTCCGCCGAATGACAGACGTCTGCTCTGGTCCTTGACGAGTCGCCATCCCAAAACCTCATTGGTCCCACTGCATACAACATCACCACCTCGCCTCCTCTCTTCCTCGCCGCCCCATTACCTGCAGCTGCAGTCAAGACCAGGCTGATACTTGTTCGACATCTTGTCCATTCTAACATCGAACCATCCAGATACTCTCCAGGTATTGAACCACTCCGAAGACTGCTAAAAGGTATTTCCAAGTCTCCTTTTTGCCTCTGATCCCGCGTTGGCCAATGTCCAACCATAAGGGAATGCCCTGTCTTTGGTCATTGTCTTGATCTTCTCCTCGCTTGTGCACTAGCTTACCTTAGACGCCATGCAGGCTTCATCATACTGCCACACCAACATCTCCGTACCGTGCCCTTTCTTGCTTCGCATACCGAAGGGTGTTGTGCGGGGCCGCACACTGATCGTTTCTGCCATACCTCTAATCATTGTGCTCCCGCTGCTGACGCGGCGTCTGAGCGCGCGGTGGTCAAACTATGCAGAGCCTGGTGTTACCGGGTCCGACCTCACTCCTCTCTACGCCATTCGGGCGGCATTCAGAACCTGAAGACGGCCTGGCCAAGTTCCGGTCAAAATTCAGTCCTAACAGGCCTGAGCAACAGGGTTACCCGTCTCCGCCCATGTCAGAATCTCATTCCCCTTCTCGTCGACCAGCACAGTCTGTTGAATCTGCGCGCCTCTCTTATCCTCCGCCGGTAGGCTCATCCCAAAGGCAGGATAGCTTGACTCAACCGCCGACTCTGCCATCAGTATACGATCCACGGTCTACATCGGCTGCGCATGCTCTTCCTCTACAACGACCACTTTACTCTGGAGAACCTCAGCACAGGAGTCAAGGGATTCACTACCAGCCAGGACGTCCGCTCGAGCACCAACCTTACCACCATGCTATCCCACATAGCTACGGCTATGGCTACCAAAATGCCGGCCTTCCCCCTTATGCAGGAGCTCAACACGCAGGCCCGATGGTGCAGCAAGGCGCAATGATCGCACCCCCACCAGCAAGGCCTACCAAACCAGCGAGAAGAACGAAAGCGCATGTGGCATCAGCTTGTGTTAATTGCAAGAAGGCGCATCTCAGCTGCGACGTCCAACGCCCTTGTGGCCGTTGCGTTGCTTCTGGAAAGCAGGTGAGTGTTTCGCTCTCTTTTGCAGCTTGAGGAACCATATCCTTTTCCAGACTGAATTAACATGTTCAAATAGGACACATGCAAAGACGTGCAACACAAAAAGAGAGGAAGGCCACGGTTAAGAGACGACAGAGAGTTCACTAGATCAGAAGACGGAAGACCACCACCTACCCAGCTCATAGGAGCGCCACCTACCTCCGAACCTCACGCACACCAATCGTCGTACCCAGCGTCTCAGCCATATCGAGCCTTCGAACCCCAACGAATTTTGGAGAGTACTACGCACCAAAAGGAGCTCCATCCCGTTGCATCTGCACCCAGAGATGCAGCCGGCGACTACGGTGGAGTGCAGGCACCTCCCTTTGGCACGGGATCGAACATGGCGTACCAAAAGCTGCCTGTAGTTTATCTCAATTTGGATCTGGTGATACAAAAAGCAAACCAAGCTTTTGCGGACCTGGTATCGTTCCTCGGAGACATCAGGGGTAAACATCTTGGTGATCTTCTGGAAGCCCAACAGAACGAAAGCATGCAGCGTTTGCGAAACGAACTGCGCGACGAACGCGACGAACGTGAGCCGACATACATGGCGCCTATCACTCCGATTGGGCAAGATCCTATGCGTGCGGTGATGGACTCTATTGCAGATCAGGACATCGACCATGTCACCCAGGGCTACACGAACAGGTCCATGTTCCTTAGCTTCCGCCTCCCCAGTAGTGGACAGTACCAGTCGCTGCAGGTCCAGATCCGGCTTGCTAGAACGTCTCTTTACTTCGTGACTCTAGTCGTTTGCTCACTGCCAAGGCACGCCGTTCCGACTCTTCTAACGCAGCCGTTAGCTACTTCAACTGCAAGGCATGCTTCACAGACGATGTCTGCACCGGCAATAGCTCCAGTCACGCAGTACACGCCTCATCCAGATCGACGAACATCGACGAACAGCTCTGCACCAAACTCACCCTTTTTTAACTTCTCGTCCATCCGAACATCTCTTCCTACATTCAGTCCCAGCTCTTACAAGAGCAGCCCATCACACGGCTACTCCCCGACCGGAGGCCCGGAATCGGGATACTTCCCAACGTACCAGGCACCCCCACAACCCACAACAAGCGCATATCCTTCTCCATACCCGCAAAATGCTCGGACGCCAGCAGGAACTTCAGAACCCTTGCGAGAGCTCAATCGTCCTCCGCGCCTCGAAGGCTTGCATCTTCCGCCTATCCGAACAGGGCCGGCACCTCTTGGTTCACCACTACACGTCGAAACAGGTGCTGGCGCCTTGGAACGCGAGCGTTTGCGACCACGCGATTCCCCCTCGAGTAGTGCCGAACAACAGAGGCCTGAGTCGCCCGAAACTGGCAAGCGGAGGCGTTTGAATATACATGAGGTGCTGGACTAAAGGCGTTAAGAGGGAGGAAGATGAGCTGCAATGCGTTCCTGACACGGGTGTGAGGAGGATGACATGGTACGTGGGGCATATGCGGCGAAGTTTTGCGGAGAAGAAGGGACCATGTGTTTCTAAGAGGTGGCTGTCGTAGAAGGGTACCGACAGACGGGTTCCCTTGTCTGACCGAAACTCGGCGCATTCGAGCGGGACGGCGCATGTTGCACACGGACGACGACATGGACTGGCGCTTGTTTTTCGTACTTATTCCGTCATCGCTTTTGGTAGCATTTTTTTGGCGCGTCTGTTATTTGCGTTGCATTTCAGGCGTTACCACACGTTTCTCTGACTCTATCTCTTGCACAAGTCGTCTGCTGGGAGCTTGCCCATTCGTGTTTTTTTTTTGCATATTGCATCCTGCTTCTTTTTGTTGCTCTCTCCTCTTGACGCAGTTAGCATTAACATACCATTTGGCCTCAGCTTCTGTTTCAATATAGTCGCATACACCGGCGTCGCTACGGCCATACCTTGTAAAACTTTTTGGTTATTCAAAGCTCTCGTTCTCTCTGTTCCTCCCTAGACGCTGTTCCGGGGGGCTTTGCAATCTTTTATCTCAGCACTCGTTGTATAAATCTCCCAAGTCCTGTACCACAGCTGATCCGTGCCCTCGCGTTGGTGTTTCATCATTAACCAGCGAACCGGGTTTTGCCTCGCATTACAACCCGCATTTGTAAATAACAGACATTTGTGCGCTCGTTTGTTTGATCGTCAGAAGTCGGTGAGAGAAGCGGATATTCTTGTTAGTCTCTGGGAGCGGAGTAGCGAGGGAATCATTGTGGGTTCGAAAACAAGTCGTGCAGGCCTCGAGTCGCGGCCTTGCATGGGGGCTCAGAGGAGAGATATCTGCGTACTGGTACTAAGCTACATCTTCGATATCGGATCAACATCATCTTTATACGGGCAGCCGAATTCCTAAACCGGCGAGGATTGAACTGGGGAGATTAACAAGGACGATGGTTACAGTTGATCTGAGCATTTCTATTCTTGGAATCACATTCAACATTCATCATATCTTTCTCTCTTTCGACAAGAGAGCTCCGGATACAAGTCCGGAAGTATATATAAACACAGCGGTGAGCAAACGGCAGTCTGGCTGTGCTCTAAAGATAGTGTGTGGGGGTTTGGGAATTATTGGCTACTAGGCCAGTGGAGGATATACCCTTTTGTCGCATTTGGTTCGAGATAGTAAAGAAATAACAGAAGTTGGGCATAGCATAGAATTTGCTAGCTATGTTTGCATGTAGAAATACGAACGTGGAAAAAAAAGGGGGGGGATCTTGAGTCCTTCCTTCACATGTCTTCGTCATTCAGAGCACGTTTCCCAAGTACAATATAATATGATGCTCTTGTCCACTATCTGTTGAGACTTCGGTCGTGGTACAAGCCTCAAAATGTGAAACAGCTACTACAGGTTGGCGAAACCTTAATGCTGTGACGAACACACTGTTCGCGCGTTCCACCTACCAGATGCGACGGAGCGCGAAAGAAGACAGTGGTGGAAATGAAGATGTTGGCGTCAAAGTTCGTGAAATATGGCATGCGCATACTGAGTTGAATAATGCAAGATGTTTATTGAATGTGCAGTGTTAAGGACAAATGGGTATCTTGGTTATGAAAGTACAATTGAAAGAAAGCAACCTGTCTTCTCAACGACTAGACGCAGTCAATAGAGCGCTGGGTTTTCGAGCATCAGCAATCGCTGCTGCCTCGGGAACAGCAACTTTGGTGCGCATGATATGGGGAGACACTGGAAGCGCTCATCCCAGAGCCTTCACCTTCTTCTTTTTCTTCTTTGCGCCGTCAGTGGACTCTGGTTTCTTTCCCTGCTGGTAGTCCCTCCAGCTGTTGATGCGCGTGTCTCTGGTCTTCTCCCAAGCTTCATCTTGCTCTCTCTTCCTCTTACGCTCCTTAATCTCCTCATCTTCCTTCCTCTGTGCACGTCCCTCTTCTCTCATAGCGGCCTTCATTTGTCTCTGCTTCCTCATTTCGTTGTCTCTAATGACCCAGATGACCTTTTGCCTCCACTCTTTCGCAAATTCCTCGCCACGCGTCTCTTCGTCGTCAGCCGTGAGCTTCTTCTCCCGCATCAGCAGCATGCGCGCATCAGCAATGTTCTCATCCAACTCGGCGCGCAGCTTCTCGTCGAGTAGGACAGTCTGGGCTTTCTTGAGGCGATCAAAGGCATCGGGGGCGAGCTCGTTCTTGGTTTTGTCGGGATGGATGAGGAGGGACTTGGCGCGGTAGACTTTCTTGATGTCGGATTCGGGGACACCTGGTTGGAGATCGAGAACGGCATAGGCGTCGAGACTGAAAACGCTGCGGATGCCTGTGTTTGTTAGTATGAAGTTGTAGTATAGTAAGCCGAATAAGTTCAAGCTCAAGCTCTGTCATGGTATGAAGCAACTCTAAAATGCAACTTACGTTCTATTTCAGCGTCCTTGTCAAGCTCTTTGCCGAGACCAGCGAGCTGAGCATCGATGTCATCGTCTGCCATGGTAACCTTGTAGACGCGTTATGTGGAGTCGAGTTTAGATGCCTCGAAGAGTTGGTCAAGAGTTACAAAGGGAATGAATTCAGGGCCTTCGAGCTACAACAAGCGCCGTCGTCGTGGCGTTGGTGAAAGTGAGAGTAATAGCACGCGATGTCCAGGCCGCGTGAATCCCCGCGGCGAAGCGCACGAGCCACCGAGGCCGAAGTTCTCCACCAAAAAGTTCTCTCGCGATGCGCCAGCCAGCCTCAACACCGAAGCAAGCCGAAGAGACGACAGTGCGCTGAAATGGTCGCATCTGGATTCACTGGTCGCACGCGACCGACCAAGGTCAAGAAGAGGGAGAATATTAAGAAGAGGACGCGCGACGATGTAGATGTGGAGAAGCTGGAGCAGGCCGTCCAGGCACTGGTATGTATGCGGAGACAGACAGGAGACATGGAGCGCAACGAACTGACTGTACATATAGGACCCCAAACATGGCACCTACAAAGACTTCACCGACCTTCCGCTTTCCGACCCGACCAAGCAAGGCCTCAAGTCGTCGCATTTCGCCGTAATGACCGATGTGCAAGCAAAAGCCATACCTTTAGCCCTACAGGGACACGATATCCTTGGGGCTGCAAAGACGGGTAGCGGAAAGACTCTCTCCTTCATCATTCCCGTTCTCGAGAACCTGTACCGATTGCAGCACATTGGCCCCGACGCTGGCTTGGGCGCGTTGATCCTATCCCCAACCCGAGAACTCGCCATCCAGATTTTCGATGTCTTGCGCAAGATCGGACGACATGGACACATGTTTGCGGCAGGTCTGCTGATTGGAGGAAAGAGCTTGCAGGATGAGAGAGAGGCTCTGACCAAGATGAACATACTCGTCGCAACACCGGGCCGTATGCTACAGCACCTGTCGCAAACAGCAGCCTTCCAGGTGGATGACTTGAAGATGTTAGTGCTGGATGAGGCAGATCGGATCCTTGATATGGGTTTCCAGCGGGACGTCGACGCCATTGTTGAATACCTTCCCAAGGAAAGACAGACGCTGCTCTTCTCAGCTACACAGTCAAAGAAGGTCTCTGACCTGGCTCGCCTGAGTCTCCAGGACCCCGAATACGTATCCGTACACGCCGAGGACAAGAGCGCAACCCCGAAGGGACTTACGCAAAACTATATAGTTTGCCCAATCGAAGAGAAGCTGGACACCCTCTGGAGTTTCATACAAGCGAGCAAGAAGTCCAAGATCCTTTGCTTCTTCTCGTCTGCAAAGACTGTTCGATTCGTCTACGAATCTTTCCGTCACATGCAGCCTGGTATACCGCTTCTCCATATCCATGGTCGTCAAAAACAGGGAGCTCGACTTGACACAACGGCAAAGTTCTCTGCGGCCAAACATTCATGTCTGTTCGCGACAGATGTCGCAGCTCGAGGACTGGATTTCCCAGCAGTCGACTTCGTAATCCAGGTTGACTGCCCAGACGACGTTGATACCTATATCCACCGCGTTGGTCGAACAGCAAGATACAATCGGGAGGGACGCGGAGTGCTGTTCTTAGCACCAAGCGAAGAGGAGGGTATGCTGAAGCGCCTAGAGGCCAAGAGAGTGCCCGTCGAGATGATCAACGTACGACAGAAGAAGCGTCAGTCAATCAAAGACCAGCTACAGAACATGTGCTTTCAGGATCCAGCCCTCAAGTATCTTGGCCAGAAAGCGTTTATGACACACGTCAAATCCATATATCTACAAAAAGATAAGGAAGTGTTCAAGCTCAAGGACTACAATCTGGAAGCATACGCTGCTAGCTTAGGTCTACCGGGAACGCCAAAGATCAAGTTCTTGAAGGATGACAACAGCAAACAGAGGAAGCAGGCATCAAGGCAAATGATCGAAGTTTCAGACTCTTCAGACGCTGAAGAGGTTGCAAAGGCAGACAAACCTGTTCGAACCAAGTACGATCGCATGTTCGAGCGTAAGAACCAGGACGTCCTGGCAGAGCATTATCAGAAGCTAGTCAGGGACGGAGATGACGAGGCTCCAGCAGATGAATTCAGTGGCGCTGGAGCGACAAACAACGCCGCCGACGACGACTTCATGGCTGTCAAACGACGAATCCCAGCTGACGATGATTCTGACGACCTCGATACTGATAAAGTTCCGGAAGTTCCACCAGGTGGTCGCCTTGTCCACATCGCTGGTGCTTCTCAACCAATTGTGGTCGATAGCAATCGCCGCGAGAAACTCCTACAATCTAAGAAGAAGCTCACCAAACTCATGGATAAGGGAAAGAAGCTTGTCTACGATGACGAAGGCAACCCGCACGAGATCTACGAACTTGAAGACGAAGAGCAGTGGCGCGCCAAGGGCGTACCAGAGGAGCAACGCCAGAAGTTTATTGAAGCAGCACGTGAGGTTGTCCAAACCGCGGATATTGAGGACAAGGCGACTGCAAAGGAGAAGAGAAAGGAGAGATTGCGGAAACGTAAGGAGAGAGAGAGAGCTGAGTTGGCTGGTGAAGGTGGTGAGGATGCGGGTGTCGAGCTTCCAGATCCCGGTGAGGACCTTCTAGCAAACTTTAGGGCGGACGCGGAATATAGTGACGATGAAGATGATGAGGAGCGGGAAGAGCAGCCCAAGAAGCAGAAGAAGTGGTTCCAGTCTGATTCTGAAGATGAAGAAAAGACCAAGAAGAGGAAGAAGGCAAAGGCGACGCACAGGGTGGAGGAGCCGGAGACGCTGGAAGATATGGAGGCACTCGCCGCGGGCCTGTTGGGTTAGTTATTATCGTGCATCTTCTTGTAGATGTTTTTCATAATTCCACGCGGGATTTCTTGTTTTTCACTGAAGCCTCTTTGCACGTTTCCTACGAGATTTAGTGACACTCGAATATGAGACTTGTAGTATCTGGCCCATCATGACTAGGGGAGGTCTAGTCGATTGACCCATCGTTTTGCTCTGGACCGACGACAGATTACCGAAAACTGTAGCCGATTGTTAGAGGCGGCAGGGGTGACCTACCATGCAACTTGTATTGCCTGTATACAACATCGTATGCAACATCATCTAAAGCCTCGTGTTGTAACCGGGAGATGGGTTGAAGAGGCTCAACAAGTATCGATTTAGCCTACCGAACCATCAATATAGATGAGAGACGCGTTGGTGAAATTCCATGTTAGGGAGGTGTTGATGCGAGAATAGCTTATGTTTGGGTTATGAGTTGGGAATGGAAATAAATAGAATGTATATCATAGACCTGGTTTTCTAGGTACTCTTCTTCCATATCTTACAGGATACTCATCAAATCATTACAGCGACCTGTAGACTCGACTCCATGCTGCTCGCACAAAATACGGCTACAATGCACATCGCCACCGCCATTCTTATCGCATGGCCTATGATCCTTACTTCTGCCTTCCCAATCTCGCCTCGAGCCGCGCTCATAGGCTCACCACGAAATGTCTACCTCACCACTTGCACCACACGGTCCCTCACCGCCGACACAACCTTGTCATCCGCAATCCTCTACAGCGGCTCCGCATCCACCAACAGCCCCACAGACATCGGCACCGTGTCTTCTCCGCGCGCTATCCAGTGGGCTGGTTTCACTCGCCGCGTGACTCTCGAGTCTGGTGTCTTTGAATCTAGGATTGCACAGAGTGCTGATACGCTACCGAAGAGCGAGCTTGCGGGGTCGGCGGTCTTGACAGGAGATGGGAATGTGAAGGAAGAGTTTGCTTGTTTTAGGGACGGAACGAGCACGTTTCGGTTTGGTGGTGGAGTACTGGGAGGAGAGACGACGGTGTGTGTGGCGGAGTTTTGGTGTGGGAGCATTGCGGTTTAGATGAGAGAAGAAGATGGAGGAGCGCACAGCGTTAGCCAACCCTTCCAATACATAACGAGACCATCCTTGTGAAAAGGGGTTGTAATGCCGTAGATATCTTACTCTGAATCTGCGAGGCGTTTTGTCATTTTCGCTGACCAGCAATCGCCATCAAAGTGCCATTTTCGTTCACAACTTCACAACGTTCCAACCGCCACCATACACACAAAAGATCTTGTTATCATCTAACAACAAGAGTATGTGTTTTCCATGCGTAGAATGTACTTTGGAAGAGAAGGCAAAAACATAAGATCAAAAACATACAACAGCGGGGATTCGCCAGTGGTCACCCACCTGACTACTAGTCCGCCGGTCGAAGGCTTAACGTGTGGAGAGCAAACGGGATCCAGTGTTTGTCCTTCGCCTATGGTCGTATGTGGAAGAAATTAAAAAAATCATTGTAACTAACGTTGGGATTGTGATGCATCTGACTTTGAGCATGTCGGCGAAAGTGAGCTAGGCCGAATGGATTTTTGGAAAACTGCGAGAGAAGCGGGAGAAACACACAGCATACAGTAGCATTCGATCGGAGAGGTGCATTTATGTTGTTTCCTTCTTAGGGCAAGGTGCACACGATGCGCTCTCCGAATGCAGTGCGAGTGGGGTGGCGTCGCAACAGCAAATGTCTTCTAGAAAGTAAACGAGTAAAAGATGACGTACATATCGAAGCCCATCTGACTGATATTCTCAAAAGCCTTGTGCCAATCCGAGGTGTTTCCTACGGCACTCGCCCTCGCTTTCCATTTTACCACAATCTCTAGCCTAGGCAAATACCTAGGTGGTCTACATCTAACTTCCCGTACCTAGACTTGGCTTCTCAGCTCTAAATTAGCGTACTAACGTAGACATCTTTGCTCCTCGGCTGCGACTGCCCATCTCAATCTCTCCCGTTGTAACTTCCTGGGACCGAAAAACATCACGAACCACGGTACGGAACTGCAAACTTATGCCCGGTCGCGGACACGTTCCTGACTAGAGTTCTCGGCCTATAATGCCGTCGCTACTCCTTCCGAGGCAAGGTAGTGGTCTCGATAATGATGACGACTTGATTGGGCTTGTCGTTTCACCATCTTGCAAGCCACGCAGTGAAAGCGACTATGATGGAGTCAGCTACCACATGATCGTATCTGACGGGTAACGACAGCTACACTATCCGTAGGCCCCACAACGCAGAGCAAGAGCATGCATAACTCAGTCAGCCGTCCCAGTACCGTGTCACCGGTCATATCTCCGTTATCACAACGCATGAAGAAGAAAAAACGGAGAAATTGCACCGAAGAAAACAAACATAGTCCTAAAGTCCACATCTCACTGCTTCTAGCATTTGAGTCCGCACCGTCCTTGCGAAGAAAAGCAAGCAGACAGGGCCGGGAAGATGGAAGAAGCAGTGCTGGGTGAGTGTGACTGCAGCCGACCTTATGCGAAGAGCGGGTACCTCGTCCCCTCTTTTCAGCTGGTTCTTTTTTCTCGACGAAGACTGCTTTTCCCTTCCGCGGCTGCATCATGCAATGCATTGAACAATTCTCCATCAATTATCGTGCATTAACTGAAAGAAACATTTTCCCTCATGCATCTTGCCCCGCCCTTTCGTACTCACTATCTGTTTCCCTTTCCCCATCCCTTCGGCGCATCTTCCTACCGTATCTATACGGGCGTACCCTCTTTCACGATGGATAAGATCGGCTCGCGTAGAGGCAAAGAATCGGCTATACTCTAGTAGTTTGGTTCGTTGAGTAATTGCGCAAGGAACATAGCGACGTTCGGGTAGCATCTGAGGAAAGCTAACCAGCCGGTTGCGCCATGCAGGGGCTCAGGGGCTGGCTGGTGCGGGCAGAGGTGGAGGTCGGGAAAAAAAAGAAAAGAAACAAAAGGAACCCAAGAGGAAAACGTCGACATAACGATAACGTCACGGGTTAAAGCGGGCGGCCGGTAGCGAGGTGTAGTGTGCGTGACTAGGAGCGTTTCTGCGGGGTGCCAAGATCTTGCGGAAGGCTCCGACGCAGAAGGGAATTCCATGTCTTTGGATCGAGACGGGTTCCACGCGTGGCTGGCTATGTAAGGTGTTGCGGGCAGGAGATGGAATCATTGTGTGCTGCAGAGCGTGCCAGAGTACATACTGAAAAGGGAGTAAACTGATGCCGAAGCATATCGATTCCATTTGTGAAGTCTGTATAGACGGATTCTTCTAGACTTGTTGAGGTGCTACAACACCAAGTTCCTATGATTCATTATTCCATTACTCCAGCTGACTCGCCTTTCCAGTCAGACAAGACATATCCAAAGATACAGAGACCCTGTGCCCTTCCAGCATTGACAAAGCAAAGATACAATAGGAAAATAATTTACGAGAGCGACGACATTTCGTAATATCCAGTGCTCCGTACTCAAAGGAATCCTGGTGCAGGACAAAAACGCTTTTAACTCCTGATGGCAACGCCTGCGCCAAATCGTGATGTCCAAGAGTGTGCCGTATTAAGATTATGCCAAAGAGGCCTCCGTATGTGCCATCGATTGAGAAAGTAAATGAGACAAGGGAAAAGGTTGTGCCAAATTGCCGTTGTAAGGCAAAGTAAAAGCATCGACGAAAAGTCTGGGTATAGTCAAGAAGCGAAGGTCGACGTAGCGATAAGCATGCTTTCAGGATTAAGGTTACTGCCCTCTAAAGTCACCAGGTCCCTGATTGGCAAAGATGTAGCTCTTGTGCTGGGGTTCAGTTGTTCGCCGTAGCAGATTTCCATGTGGATCCGTGCCTTGAGGTGGAGTGTATTGGTGTACTAGAAAGTCGGGCATTGCGGAGACCTGAGGAGCGAAAGGAACATTGTGATGAATGCCACTCAGCGACATGTCCTTGAATTCATCGTAGTGCATGTTTGCGCCCTGCATATACTGTAGACTACTGTCATTGCCTTGAGTCTGAGCAGTTTCAGGTAGCGATGGTCGCCTGAAATGCTCGGGCTTCGGTTGCTGGATGGTAAGATCGGTAGTCGAATGGAAAGCTGCACGCATTTGAGGTTGTTGCATATATGATGTCCGAGGGAAATGCTGTTGTGTTGCCGGTGCTGACTGAGGAGGCGTGTCACGGTACAAGGCATCATTGACAAAGCGTGATTGTAGGTCCATAGACGAGGATGGCGGTGAAGTCGTCTTCGCGATCACATTTCCAGCTTGATCAGAAGACCAATTTGTGTGCATGCTCTCTGGGCTGTTGTGATCTGGCATCGCTGAGTGAGGCCTTATCACGGCAGCACCACTCCAGTAGTTTCCAAAATCTTGTGGTGTCAGTGGAGTTGGCGGTGCCAGACTACCACCTTGTCCAATTGTGGTAGTGCTTGAAGAGGAGAATGTTCGTGCGAACTTCGGCGAAGCAGCAGCTTCCGAGAAGCTCGAAACCATAGGTGAGCGCTGTGCTGAACCTGGCTGCGATTTTTGAATACGGCCTCCAGCGTTTGGAATTCCACTTGATCGGATTCTGCGAATGACTTTGTCGCCGTTGCCTCCTGGTGATGACATAGGAGCAGAGTACGAGGCGCTCCTCATTGCGCTGGAGTTCAAGTTAACTGGACGCTTCTGTCTTCTAGCCGCAATGCTTGATTGTTGATCTGATGGTTGAAAGCCATCCGGAGTACTGTTTCGGATATGTATCGCATCCATGTTATTCGCCAGGTTACTGCTTGAGGAATTTCTCCGGGCGAATGCATCCTCGCGGAAGTGTAGTGGGATGTCGAGGTCAGAGGGCGCAGCACTAAGCTTTCGTGCTTGTTCTGGTGTAGAGAGGATGGCATGTGCGGACGCATTGGGTTGTTGGTAGAAATTTGACTGCGGGTACATTTGGTTGGAGCCATCCTGGGGCCAGAATGGAAGCGTCTGCTCGGAGGCTGATGCCTGAGCGAGACTGTATGGCGCGAACTGGTCTTCGGGCTCCTCAACCTGCTTGGGCTCTGCCATTTGCGAAGGATCCTCCGTCCAGCCGGTGTAAACGGAGTTCAAGGAGGCAATAGATGGAGGAGTTGGTCCATTCGGTGACTGAGTAGTGCCAGATGACTGGGTACCATTGTAGGGGGATGCATCTGACGATATCGATCCTGTGCTTTGCTGAGCTTCCGCAGATGTTGAGTTACTGTTGTTGGCAGCAGCAAGTGCGGAATAATCTATCTGGAAGTCGGTAAAGTTATCGAATTCCGGGTGTGAGGGTGCCATGTCGTTGGACATGGGTGCTGGAACCGAGAAGGCGCTTAGATCGCTGGAATATGCGTTGGATAGACCGGTGGTGTCATAAAACTCTGGCTCTTGGGCATTCAGAGACATGCCACTATTGTGCATGTAGGCACCGTTGGTCGCAGCCATAATCGAGTGCATGAGGTCGTTGGAGCGGTATGATACAGAACGGTCAGCCTCTGGAACGGAGCGAAGAGCGTGCTGCATGTCAAATTGTTGTTGTTGTTGCTGCTGCTGCTGCTGCTGCTGCTGTTGGTGGTGGTGGTGTTGCTGCAGTGAGAGTTGGGGCCCTAGGTCGAGGGCTGACGGTCCCTCGCCCATTTGCACGGGAAGACTTGCAGGGCTGATGTCAGCGTTCGGGTAGAAGTCCGGCTGCATGAGCATATGCGGATGCTGCTGCTCTTGTGGGTGTGCGTAATGGTTAGGCATGGCAGGCACGTGGGAATGACCGAACGGAAGGCTCATAGTCATGTTATACTGATTCATTAGCTTCTTGCGGTCTTGCTTGACTTTGGCCCTGCGGTTCTGGAACCAGTTCTGCACTCGAGTTAGCGACGCAAGGCATACATCATCTAGGGACCACTTGCGTTGATCTTGTCCAGTGGCACACCGAGGCGCGTCGCAAATTCCTTCTTCACATTGGTGCTCGGCTTGTGTTGCGCCAGGAAGTGCTGTTCGAGGATGTCGTGCTGGTCCTTGGTGAGGCGGGGTTTGACATCGCTGCCAGGCTGCTTAGGCGCAGTGGG